AAAAATTTTTTTTTAAAAAAAAAAAATTAAATAATATTAAATAATAATGTTTTTTTTTTATATTTCTTTTTTAAATAGTATAATTTTATAAGATTTCTAGTTTTTTAATTTTATGAAATATATATGAATTGGGTGTGAATTATTTATAAATTTTTTATATTTAAATTTTTATATAAATAATTATTTTAAACTTAAACTTTAAAATATATAAATATATTATTATTTTTATATGATTATTGATATAAAAATAAAAATAAATTATAGATATTTTTAAAATATAAATAAAAATAATATAATTAAATAAATATAAATATATATATATTTATTTTTTTAAAAATATATATATATATATATATATATACATGTATTTTAAAAAATATATATAATACCTCAATTTATATTATTTTATTTTTTGTTTTAAAGGTTTTTTATTTATAATTTATATATTTTATAATATCGGTTTTTAAATATATTTTTAGTATTTCAAACTCTCTGTTTTTAAATCTTTTTTTATTACATAATGTTTTCTTAACAATTTGTTTTTTTTTTTATAAATTTTCCTTTTTATTATTCTTTAAGGCTTCGATATTATTTAATTCATGAATATTTAAAAAAAAATTAAATTTGTTAATCAATATTATAATTGCATATGTAAATTATTATATTATTAATTTATTTTATATTTATAAAAAAAATATTAATTAATACAGTAGTTATTATAAAGAAACTAAAAATTCTTACAAAAATAATCTAAAATTAGTATTTTTATACAAAAATTGGTATATATAAATAATATAGAATGACAATAATAGAATTAAACATATAATTAGGACTATATTTAATATAAAAGGCTGAATTATTAAAATAATTTATTACTTAAGTAATTGATTTAGAAAGAAATTTAATAAAAAAGAAAGAACAAATAAATAAATGAAAATTTAATAAAAAGAAAAGATTAAGTAAATGAAAATTTAATAAAAAAGCAATAAATACATTAAAATTTAGTAAAAAGGAAAAGAATAAATAAATAAATTAAAATTTTATTAATTAAACAATAAAAAAATGAATTAAAATTTAATAAAAAATAAATAAAAATTTAATAAAAAATAATAAATAAATCAAAATTTAATAAAAAATAATAGATCATTTAGAATTTAATACAGTATAATATGTAAATCAATAAAAATTTAATAAAAAACAATAAAAAAATCAATTAAAATTTAATAAAAAACAATAAATAAATGAAACTTTAATAAAAAACAATTAAATAAATGAAAATTTAAAAAAAAATCAATTAAAATTAAATAAAAAATCAATTAAATTTATAAAATTAAATAAAAAAACAATAAATAAATGAAAATTTAATAAAAAAACAAAACAAAAAAATCAATTAAAATTTAATAAAAAATCAATTAAAATTTAATAAAAAAAACAATAAATAAATGATCATTTATATAATGAAAAAATTGAAGAAAAAGATCAAATTTATTCCAATAAATAAATAAATTTATAAGAATTTATCTTTTATATATAAAAAAATATACAATAGTATTTCAATTATACTCTAAAATAATAAATTAAATGTATTTTTTATAGTTTTTTTTTAAAAAAAAAATGTTTTTAAAGAAATTAAGTTTAATATTTTAAACTATTCGAAAAAAAAATCATATTCCTTTTTTTTAATATATATAATGAAAAATATCCTTTGTATAAAAAATATATACTTGTACCAATATTAGAAAAAATCAATTTTTTTCTGTATATTTTAGTCAAACAAAAATTAAAGGTAAGAATTATTAATTTTAATGGTTTCCGTTTATAAATATTGCAATTTTGAAACTCTAAAGGAAGGGTCTATTTAAAAAAAGCTTAAATTCGAATGTTTTTAAGGTTTTAAGGTATATTCTGTGGAACAATACAAGTAATAATGTACATTTCTGTATTTTATATATCGAGGAAATGGAGTAAATAGTACATTAAGGGCTTTTTGTATTTATTTCGAATGGCATAATGAAAAATAATTGTTTTTATAAAAAAAATAAAAAATTTAATACAATAAAATTATTAAAATCTGATTTAGTTTAAAAAGTATTTTTTTTTTTTATAAAAAAAAATGAATTTTAATTTAAGTTAAGAAATTAAAAAAATATTAGACAATATTTAAATCTTAGATAGTCAATTAATGCAAACAATTGAAGTTTATTTTAAACTTTTAATAAATATTTTTATATATTTAATAAAATAGACTTGAAAAGATAAAAATTCATTTAAATCTTTCAAATATATATTTAATATTTTTAATAAAATATCAAAAAAAAATTGAAAATGTTTATAATAATTATATTTTTTTTTAGAAAAATAATCTTTGTTTAGATAACAAAAAAAAATACATTAAAAATAACTTTTAAGTTATAATAAAATTAATAATAATAATAATTTAAAAGGAGATAAGTTAAATAAAAGTAGTAAAAAATATAATTATAATTAAATAATGAAAATAATATATATTTAATTATAAAAAAAAAGCAATATATTACTTAAATTTCAATATGTAATAAAAAAGGGGTTAATAAATAAATATTTAAATACTTAATGATTTATTTTATAAAGAAAATATAGTTTTAATAATATCAGAAAAGAAAATATAAAGATATACTAATAAATTAGATTTTATTAAAATATCTTTGAAAAAGATAAATAAATGAAATTAAAAATAATAATTTTATTTTTTTTAAATAAAAATATATATATGTATATAAAAATAATATATATTATATATATATTTATTTATTTATTTTTATTTTTATATATATATAAAAATTTAATATTTATATATATTATAATTTTTTTTATTATGTAAAAAACCTTTATATTTTTTTGCCATAAATGAATATATTACCTCAAATTTTATTTTAAGCTTAAAATTAATTATTTAATCGATATTTTTAAAAATTAATTTTAAATCTTTAAAATGAACATTTTATTATATTTAAATATGTTATATATATATAAATTATTATTCAAATTATAAATAAAAAATATTCTAAAAAAAATAAAGAAAATAGCTTATTTTTATTAATAAAATTTTAATAAATAAATTATTATTTAATTTAATTTAATTTTATTTACATATAAATAATTTAATTTTATTTAAATGTAAAAAAACATATTTAAAAAATAAAATACAAATTATCAATTATTTTTTTTGATTAGATTCTTTATATATATAAAGTATATTGATATTTTTTTGGAATTTATTTTATAATAATAAATAAATGTTATTATTTTTTTTCTAAAATAAAAAGGATTAGTTTTTATTTAATTGAAAGATTTTTTTTTTTTTTTGAAGATAAAAATAAAAAAATCTTGTAATTTGAAAAAAAAATTAATAATAATATATAAAATAAAAATTATTTTTATTTAAAATATTAAATTTTATTTTTATCTTTTAATATTTAAATTTTAATTTTATAAAAATCTGTATTTTTACTTTATTTATTTAATAAATTTTATTTTAATATTAAATAATAAATTTTATTAGTATAATATATATTAATTTTAAATATAACAAATTTGAATTTCTTTTTTTAAATATAAAATTAAAACAGAATAAAACGAAAATAAAAAATACATATAAAAAATCAAAAATACAAAACAAAATGAAATTCTGTGTATTAACAAAAAATTAAAAAAAAAACAAAAAACAAATTATTTATTATATTTATAAAAAAAAAAAAAAAAAAAAAAATCATATATATTAAATTAACTTTTTTTATAAAAAAAAAAATAAAATAAAAAAATAACAAAAAAAAAAAAATAACAAAAATGTTCATCGAAGAAGAAACAGCATTTTTCTCAAATTTACACACTACATCTTCATAATAGGAAATACTTAATACCCTTCCTATATTATCCGCCTAAAGTACAAGCTTCCAAAACATCCTATAAAACAAAAGAAGTAATTATTAATAAGAAAGTCTTCAAAAAGGGAATAGTTGTACCGAATCTAGATTCATTCCTTCTCGAAAATAATCTAAATATAACGTAATACTATCAAGTGCACATGAGGTTGGTAAAGAAAAAGTACTTAAAGGTTAATTTATATAGAATGAAAATGATTATTCAATCGCTTAATTGTATAAGAAGCATGTTTTATAGATAAACACGCATAAAAATAAGCTAAAATTTTGCTAAAATAATAAAAAGAAATTATAAAATAATATATTTTTCTAAAAGGAGGAAGGAGGAATGGAAATAGAATAATAAAAAATAAATAAAAAAATAAAATAATAATAAATTAAATGCTGTTCATATAAAGTTTTAGACGCTCCGGGCCTTTAAGATGATTATTATTTGAATTTATTAGACTGGAGTAGTAAAAATATACTAGCAGTAGCCTTAGGGAGCTAAGTTTATATATGGAATGGATTTACAAATTAAGTTTCTAAGCTTTGTGAGGCATAACTTCGTATAGCATACATTATAATTAGAATCTAGTTTAAGGTCTATAATGGAATGAAAGTGGAGACTTTTTGAGTATAGGAGATTCTTTAGGGAAAATATAGATTTTTGATGTAAATAATTCCTCAGAAATACTCTCTTTTAGAAATCATAATGATAGAATAGGGTCTGTGGCTTGGAAAGATGATAATATAATAGCTACAGGTAGTAGAGATAAATAGATTATATGTACAGATATTAGAAGTAGATTCCCTTTTTAGACTTTTAAGGGACATTAATAGGAAATATGTGGATTAAAATGGTCTTTTGATAATTAAATGCTAGCCAGTGGAGGAAATGATAATAAACTATTCGTTTGGAGCCTTAAATCACATAACTATCTATATAAATTCAACTAACATAAAGCCGCAGTTAAGGCTATAGCCTGGAATCCACATTAACACGGGGTTTTAGTAAGTGGAGGAGGTACTATGGATAAAAGTATTAGGTTTTGGAATACTTAAATAGGAAAATAAGTAGATTAAATAGAAACTAATAGTTAAGTATGTAACTTAGTGTTTTCTAAAAATTAAAACGAGTTCGTAAGTACTCATGGATTCCAAGATAATGAAATCATAGTATGGAAATACCCCACTTTATAAAAAATAGCATGTCTAACAGGACATAGTTGTAGGGTTTTGTAGCTTGGATTAAGTCCGTGTAGTACTAAAATTGTTACAGGAGCAGGCGATTAAACTTTGAGGTTTTGGGATATTTTCTAGGAAAAAAATTAAGTTTAATAAAACTTTAAATAATATTAGTCTGTTTTAGATAGTAAATTTGATTTAAGATGATAATTTTAATTAAATATCTTTTGTGTATATATATGTGTGTATTTAATTTTTAAACAAATGTTATTATTTTCAAATTTATATAAAAAAATAAATATAAAATGTATAAATCGATAAATATTTATATATGTAAATATTATATATATATATATATATATATATATATATATTAAATATTTATATATATATATATATTTATATATACAATTTATATCATTTTTTAAAAACTAACTTTTTAGCTATCTCTAAAGCTTTTTTTTAATTGAATAATTTATTAATTAATTCTAATGTAAATTCAATAGCTGTACCAGGTCCTTTTGAAGTGATTATTTTACCAGTAATGGCTACATTTAGATCATCATTTATTAATGATTTATTAGTTAATTTATCTTAAATTGAAGGGTGAGCAGTACCTGCTACTTAGTCATTTAAAAAACCATGTTTTTACAATACTATGGCAGGAGCAGCACATATAGCTGATAAATATTTATCTTATTGTTATTATTTTTTTAATTTCTCAATGAGAATTTGGCAGTCACTTAAATGTTAAGCACCAGGCATTCCTCCAGGTAAAGATATTAGATCAAAATCTTAATCTATTACATCCTGTAAGTGGTTATCACAGACTATAGTGATTCCATTTGAGCCTTTAATGGCTAAACTATGGCTTTTTCCCATTATAGAAGCTACTGTTACATCTACACCGGCTCGGCGAAGGACGTCTATTATTGTTACAGCTTCTATTTCTTCGAAAGATTAAGCTATGGGGACCAAAGCTTTTTTTTATTGGGTTTATTACATATATTTTTTATTATAAGTATTTATATCTTTAATTTAATTAAATGAAAGTGAAAAAAAATAAATATATATTAATTATATCAACATAAAATATAAATTGTATATACATATTTAAATATATATATATATATTTTTTTATTTATTAATTATTATTTTTTTTATTGTTGTTATTTTTTTTATTATTTTTTCATTTTTAAAAATTATTTTGAAAAGCATAGTTGTTTTGCAATGATAATAGTAAATTATATTAAATAAAATTCTAGTATTATTATAAAAGTGATTATTAAAATTAAGAATTATATAATTATTAGGCATTTCTGTTTAATTAATTGTCTAATAAGAAACTAGGATTTAAATTATAAGGTAATTAACTTTAAAATTAATTTTATATTTATAACTAAGCTATTTAATTTTATTAAGAAAAGGGAAGAGGATTTTCTATTTAGGTATTTTAATTTTCTTAAGAGATTTTTAAGTTTTAAAGTTATTTATTTTAAAGGGATGATTATTATTTCTTTTTAATTATTATTTTAGTCTTTTAAGGTATTTATTATTCTGAGAAACTCTTTTTTTGGACAATGAAGCTATTGTTTTTGCTGTGCTTTAGTTTATATTT